ATATATATATATATATATATATATATATATATATATATATATATACACACAACAATATACTATTATTTACCATAAAATTTAATATCGAATACATTGTTATTTTGTAAACCATGTTAGCTATTTATAAAAAGTTTGGAAGTATCAAACATGTGGTCCGTGTTCATTTTTTATCCACATGAAGGCATATACAATGTAAAAAGGACATAACATGAACAGCTCCTCATTCCTTACCAAATTCCTCGGCCATCACCGCCACCAATACACCAGAATGAACCACCTACCGTCATCGGATTCCTCCGCCACTTCCCCCACCGACAAATCAAGTTCCCTCGCCTCCAAATGCTGGCTTGACGACGCCTGCATTGTTGACATCGACTACTTCGTCAAAACACTTTCAGGCATCAAAGCTAATGGCGTACGACCAGACCTCATTGGTTCCATCATCACACATTACGCTTCCAAATGGATCCCTGAACTCTCCGGCGAACCACCATCACCTGTCGCCCCCGAACTCCAGTCTCTCTCACAAAGCGCCACCGCGTCTTGGCTCAAGAAACGGTTTTTCATAGAGACTATAGTGGCGGTTCTACCACCGGAGAAAGACGCCATTCCCTGCAGCTTTCTTCTCCGGCTACTCAAGAATGCTAACATGGTGGGTGTGGACTCGAGTTACAAGGAGGAGCTGGAGAAAAGAGTTGCATGGCGGCTGGATCAGGCGACGTTGAAAGAGCTGATGATACCGTGTTTTAGTCATGACAGAAGCACGTTGTTCGACGTCGAGCTTATGCTCCGGTTAGTGAAGAGGTTTGTGGAATTGGAGATCGAAGGTCTGAGAACCGGTGCCGGAATGTTTAAGGTTGCAAAGCTTGTAGACGCGTATCTTGCAGAAGTTGCAGTCGATTCAGAGGTGGCATTGCCGGAGTTTATGGAGCTTGCCGGAGCCGTTCCTGCACAAGCCCGTGCCACGGACGATGGTTTATACCGTGCTATTGATACTTATTTAAAAGTAAGTTATTTTAACCAAATAATTTAACTAAACTATCAGATTTTTAAATTTTAATTAAATGCGTCAGTTTATTTCTGTTTATGTAATATATCGTTTTTAATGCATCATTATACGTCAGATAGACAAATATTTTATATAAAAAAAAAAAAAGTTAAGCTAAATACTATAAATTAAATCTTCATCGAGATAGAAGAAACTTTTTACTTTTATAAATGGCATAAATTAAATTTAACTATAGTTTTTTTAAAACATGTTTCATTGAACTTTATAAAGTTAAAAAAATAATAAAGTTAAATAAAAAATAGAACCATAAAAATGGTAAAATTGAATGAAAAGTATAATCATACAAACTCTATAAAATTTAATATAAATACCCTGCAAAGCCATAAAATCTAATAAATGCTGAAATAAATAAACGAATAACAATTAGTGTTTTATTGTGACAAATATTATGATTTTATAATAAAACATTGAAGTATCACTAGTTCCATTTTAGACAACGGCAAGCACTCGGAATACAAAACTTTTCTGACTTATGTAAAATTACATTCTACATTATACAGTACGTTTTATATTAATTATCTCATGTATAAAGCAATTGACTTCAAAGAATTATTTTGCTTCAAAATAAGTTAAAATTTTAATAGTTTGAAAATGCAATGTTTTGCTAATATATCAACTTTATTCAATAATAACATTTACATAATGTTTGTAATATATTTTACGAAATAACTTAAATACAAAATTAATAATTTATATACTGTAATAAAATATTTTATTGTTGTGTTGTCATATGTCACCCCCACCAAATGATAGGAATAAAGAAGATAAAAGTGGTGCACATCGGAATTACAATTTGGCCTTTTGTTTGGCCTCCCGTGATGAATGTGACAACTTAATTATTTCAAATGCGTTATTTATGTTTTCTTTTTAAATAGAAATTTAATTTTATAACATATAATAAATGCAAATTTCCTATGTACAGACGCATGTGAACGTAACAAAACAAGAAAGAAAGAGATTATGCAAATTAATCGATAGTCAAAAGTTATCAACCGAAGCATCCATTCATGCAGCTCAAAATGAACGTTTACCAGTAAGATCAGTAATCCAAGTGCTATTCTCTGAGCAAGCAAAACTGAGTTCCCACACCGATTGGAGTCGATCATTCAGCACTGCTAGAAGCCCGAACCTCAGTGTGGACATACACGATAGGTGCCATTCATCAAGAGATATTGCAACAATTCAACAAATGGAAATCAAGAAGCTAAAAGAACATGTAACAAAGCTTGAAAGGCAATGCTACTCGATGCAAAATCAAATTGACAAGTTATCGGAGAAGAAAAGAGGGTTTTTCAATTGGAGGAAACTGCAAATGTCAACGACTCTAAAGTCTATGAGCATAGAAGTGGCTGACGAAAGTAAGTTGGATTCGAGTAGCATTGGAAAGCAAACTCCTCTCAAGGGAAAACAAGGGAGAAATAAGACTCCGAAAAGGTGGAGATCATCTACTTCTTAAGTTTCATTAATTTTTAGATTATTTGTTGTTTGATCAGTTGTTTTTAAAAAATATAATGATATGTCAGATATTACAATACAATAATTACTTATATACCTTAGCTTTTGTCATTTTAAATCTGTAATAACTTACATGTACTACATACTTATATATAACATATTCGGTTCTTGGTTCTCATCCTTTAATCTAATCTTTGTGTATTAAAACGTGTAAACAGAGTAGAGCAGGGTAGAGGAAATTGTTAGAATAGAGAGATGGGAATTCATTGTAATGAGATCACTTGACTTGTTTATTCCCAACTAATATTATTTATAGTTACAAAGTGTGATGCTATTACATTACTTCTAACAACTGACTTCTAACTACACATAACAAACTATAACTAACTTTCTATTTACAATGTTCACGTCATAATCTCAACATCCTCCCGCAAGATGGACTTTGATGGATGCCATCAAGGTGCATCTTGGACAAAAGAAACCGGAACTGTGGTCCACATAATCTTTTCGTGAACAAGTCGGCCACTTGTTGATTAGTTGGGATATGTTGTGGCAAAACGAATCCAAGTTTGTACTGTTCTCTCACTAAATGACAATCATTGTCAAGATGATTAGTTCTTTCCCGGAAAATTGGGTTCTATGTTGTAAAACCTGTTTTACATAACATATATTATTGTGTAAGAATGGAAAGGAGATAGTGGAACAAAGTGATAGATTAGTCTGAGACGATTTCGTGAATGTACATATCATCGAACATGGAGTTCATATGAGAAAGTTATGGTCATTCGAAGTTGAGATGAAAATGTGTTGCTATTTTGAGAAAATCAATGAAAGTCAAAGTCAAAAGGTTAATTCTCAGGTCACCACGGTGTGGTTGCACACTCACCACGACGTGGAGTGAAGTAAGTCACCGAGACACATGACGGTTGTGTGAGACACGTGGTGAAAGAGGACGAAAACGTGGCATTTTCTAGGAGAAAGTTGTGGCTACGGCGCGATTTCGCACAAGGTTGTGAAAGGAATTGGAGCACGTTTGGAGCGGTTAGTTGTAAAGTTGTAATCTTTAAATATCAAGAACGTTTTTAACCTTTTGGTATGTGTACTTTTATAGGTACATACAAAGAAACGTAATAGATTGGATACAAATAGATTGAACAATCTTGTTTATGTTCAATTCAATGCTAATCTAATGGAAAAAAACAAAAAGAGAAAAGATAGGACTTTGGAAGTGCTTTTAGCAAATGATTCTCACGCAACTCAAGAATGGATGATAGATGGAGATGACGGTGATGGAGATGAAGTTGACCCTGAATCAGTGGTGGAAGCAACTGATGAAGCTCTTGGGACTAATAATAATCAAGTACCCCATAAAATTTCAACACCGAGAGAACTTTTTGATAAATATTTTGAATCCGACAATGATGAACAAATGTTTGAAGAAGATGAATATGAGTCGGATGGAGTTCAAATAGTGGAAGAACTTGAAGATTAAAAGAATATGGACATTTAAATATATGAAAATGTGTGTTTCTATTATTATTAAACTTATTCTGGACTTGTAACATGAGGGATTATGACTTAAATGTTTAAATACTAGTTATGACTTTTTTTATGGTTATTTGTTTAGTACATATTTAATTTTTTATTAATAAATAATGGTCCCCGATTAATCCCCATCGAGACCGATTAATCTCTTAACCCCAGTCGACCGTCGAGCTACCGTCAAACGATTTCTGCAACCTTGATATATATATATA